AGCATAAAAAGAAAAGAAAACAAGCAATTTGAGGGTGATGGGACTTATATCAAATTAAATTAGGTTACATTATTGGCATCATCTGAGTGACATAAATAAATAAATAATTAATTAATTAAAGTGACATTTTTTATTTTATATAGATTAATTCATTTATATTTTATATCCTAAAGTTTGCATGCTACGTATTAAATCATACTTAATTATTTTTATTATAATCTAGTACGTAGCTATTTTGGTTTATGATTTTTTAGGTCAACTCTTTGACTTTTTAATTTTAGTTATTTCTTTTTAATGTAAAAACTAACATTACTTGCACGTTATAAAATGTTAATAATTTTATTAATGCAATCTCTCTTTTTGTAGTTTTTTTTTAAGGAAATTTTTCGTTTTTTTAAGTTATCTTATGATTTGGATGAGTATCGAACTATAAATTGATAGATAAAGTAGGATATGTTATGAACCACGACCTTCCATAATTGTTTTCGGTTTTCCTAGAAAGCCTATGAGACGTCAATATGGGACTATTTCTCACAATTATCTCCTCGAACGAAGTACACCATAGAGTCTCTCTCGAGACTATTTCTTTGGAGCCCTCGAACAGTCTCCCCTGAATCGAGGCTCCGACTCTCTCGAACAAAGTACGCCCTTTGCTAGAGTATACCTTCAAGACTCAACATTTGAGGATTCTATTGACATGACTCTAATATCACGTTAAGAACCACGACCCTCTATATTAATATGATATTGTCTAATTTGAGTAACAGCTCTTGGGACTTTAATAGTAATCGATAAAGAAACGTGAACGAAATTCAGTTAGAAAAATTTTAATCTTACCCATTAGTTTATGTAATTTTCATGAAGGTTTGAGAGGGTAATATTCATAGTACGAATAAGAGAAATTGGCACATGATTTGATTGATATCATAATTTAAAAACCCGTGACCTATTTGATGCAATTATAGATATCAAAAGGAAGAAGATAACAAGAACACATGATAGGAGAAAGAAAAACTCAATGTAAAACAAAATGGAGATGTTGACATTGGGACCTATCTTGACGTTTCAATTCAATACATTGAAACGGACTGCAAAAAGGGGAGAAAAATAGGAGGTTCGAGATAGATTCAACTAAAGTCTATCCATCATTGAACGAAGTGATCATGTATCCTTCAATAATTTCGAGTTACGAACCCTAATTGATTCATATTATAAATTATTCTCGAAGAAACAAGTTGGAGTCTGGTCCCATCAAAAGAGGACTGGACTCCCATCAGACTTGCTAACCCCAGTACTCAAAGATTCTCCGTCTTTCTTTCCAAATAAAGATATTAATTAGCTGGTCCTTAGCATACTCTTCTACCAGTCTAATGTTGAATCTTCTACTTGTAATATTATATTATACAAAAAAACTGATATCTATGACTTAACACGTCAATGTTAGGAGTCACGAATCTTCACAATGATATGATACTGTCTACTTTGAACATAAGCTCTCGTAACTTTGTTTTTTGTTTCCACGAAATGTCTCATACCAATAGAGATGGATTCGTTACTTATAAATTCATGATCATCCCATTAATTCTTAATGTAAGACTCCCTCCCAACAGTCAGTATGTCGGACCAACGTTCAAATTAAAAGTTGGAACGTTTATGTCGACCGGGCGAGGACAATAGGAGAACAAAAGGGTGGGGCCTAAGCTAGGTTTGTCTTAGGGGCCGGAAAAAGTCAGCCGCGTTATTCCATTAGGACAAAGTATTAGGCTCCATGAATGAAGCTATTTTTCAGCGGCTGTGGCGTCAGTTTCTTGTCCCTACCATTCCCTCTAGCTTCTGCGTCTCTGACTGGATTTTGTCAACGGTTTTACAACCCACTTCTTCCCTTCCCAATACCATTTCCGGTTTCCCAAAACTACCCTTTTCTATATATATATATATATAGATGAAGCTTTTGCCTCCAATTCTCCACTAAACACTCACCAAATCCCTTCTAAGCAAACCCTTTTTCCAGTTTTTGTTGCTTTTCAAGATGTCTCCGGCAATGGCGGCTGAGATGGAGAATACCATTGTATCAGAAACTCAAGTGTACCAAAAGGGTGTCAAGAATTTGGCTGACAAGGGATTGAATAAGCTCCCTCTCAAATATGTTCTCCCCAATTCCGACCGCCCTGCCGATTGCAAATCCGACAACCCTAATGTGATTGGCGCCGTCGAGCTTCCTGTCATCGACTTCGACCAACTCTGTGGCCCTAACCGCCGACACGTCCTCCATTCCCTCTCCAAAGCTTGCGAAGATTATGGCTTCTTTCAGGTAGGGTTCTGGGTTATAATAAATTTAATCTCTTGTTATTTTCGTACGTGAATTAGTACAAAATGTTGGATTTGACTCACGATCAAAATATGTCAAAACAAAGGAAAAACTTGAAAGGAGAGATCTTTTGGAACGAATAAACCTTGAGCATTTAGCTTTTCAATTTGAAAATAGCATACATCTCGTAAGTATTTACTGTGAAGAAAACATTAACTAATTTTCTGAACTTTCTTCTCAAGTTAAGAACCACCGACAATCTTCCTAATTAAAGCATAAAACTTAATCCATAAACACAAAACGTGAGCCATAATTTGACAACTACCGCCGATTCTTTTATAGTTGTTCCATAAGTTAGTAACTTATTCTATCAGATCAAGTTTATTAGCTCACGTAGAACTGAAAACCCGTTCGTGATTAACAAGTTATGATAAATTTAATCTTTTTATTCGCTCGTGGTGCGAATTTGATATCATGTGCAGTTGATAAACCATGGAATTTCAAGCGAAGTGATATCAAGCATGAGAGAAGTTAGCTCAAAATTCTTCGAGCTTCCATATGAGGAAAGAGCCAAATACATGTCATCCGACATGCATGCGACCGTACGTTATGGTACAAGCTTCAACCAAACCAAAGACACTGTTTTCTACTGGAGGGACTTCTTGAAGCTGACTTGCAACCCTAATCTACACCAGCTTCTCTCCAATTGGCCGTCTTCTCCCGCCGCCTTCAAGGACTCGGCATCGACCTACGCCGAGCAAACCCGACGCCTGTTTCTGATACTAGTCGAAGCAATTCTCGAAAGCTTGGGAGCTATGGAGAAAGAAGAAGAGGAATTATTGAAAGAGTTTGAAGATGGAAGTCAACTAATGGTAGTTAATTGTTATCCACAATGTCCTGAGCCAGAGCTAACCCTAGGAATGCCACCACACTCTGATTATGGCTTCCTCACACTCCTCCTTCAAGATCAAGTTGAAGGGCTTCAAATTCATCACCAACAAAAATGGGTCAATGTTAAACCTTTGCCTAATTGCTTTGTTGTCAACATTGGCGATCATCTCGAGGTAGGGTTTGTTTGTTTCGTATCTTTCGTTTCTGATCAAACCCTAATTCCTGAACCCTAAAAACGTTGCAGATCTTTAGTAATGGAAAGTACAAGAGCGTTCTACATAGAGTCGTGGTGAATGCCAACGAACTGAGAATTTCAGTGGCTTCGTTACATAGCCTTCCTTTTCGGTCAACGACGAAGCCGTGGCCAAAGCTGGTGAATGAAGAGAATCCAAGGCGTTACAAAGACACTGATTTTGGCACCTTCCTTGAATACATTACATCTCGTGAGCCTAAGAGGAAGAACTTCTTAGAGTCTAGGAAAATTATTTATTGACATATTAGTACAATAATGGGAGAGATGCAAAGAGGGTGTTCATATTTTGTCAAGGGCTAAAATGGGAATAGGGAATTAAATATGTTTTTTTTTTTTTGGGTCTCAAGGGTAAAGTTGGAAAAGAGAAAAAACCAAGCAAACCCTAGTTTATGGTTCCACTTACTCAACTTAGATTATGTATATGGAAAATTGTTGTGTTTTGTTGTTGGAATGTGAAAAATAATAATTTGAGATAATAAAATAATTAATGTATGGATCAATTAATTCGGCCGATAATAAAAAAAAAAAAAAAAAAGTTTCGTCGTCTTTTTGTTGCTTTCACTTTGGAAGGAAAACCCGAGTCAAATCGCCTTTGTTGGTATAGGCGCTTGATAGAATAAAGATCTAGCAACTTGCCTTATTTGATTTGAATCATTTGCACGGGAGACATTTTTTTCGGTTGGTTAAGAAGTTATATTAACCGACCCAAACATAGTTTAATTAATTGAGGAATCATAATTTCAACACAAAAAAAAAAAAAAAAAAAAAAATAGACCTCATTTGGTAACATGCAATAAAATCACGTTTAAAAAATAATTTAAAAAATCTATTGTATATCGATAAAGTTGATATTAGAAGTCAAAAAGTCAAAAGTCGTTAATTTTTTACTATTGATAAAATGTTGGAAAATATGGGGTTCAAATAGGAAATGCCAAATTTCCAGGATCGGGTCAAGTCCGGCTGTTTTATTCCGATTCGGTGGTGGCTTGACCCGTGTAGCCTCATGCTCTTGACTTCGACCTGATCTCCGTTGACCCTATACCTGGTCCATCCTCCAGTTGACTTTTAGCTAGCCATCGCCAACGATGTCGTTTTTACCTCCCACGTCAAACGTGGGCCCACGGTTTTTCTATCAATTATTATAATTTATTTAATCAGGTTGACTTTTGAAGTTTAATACACGCGTTCGGACACTGAATTGGAGGTCAATGTGGGCTGCTTCGATTATCCAGGCCATGGATGAAGCCCAGTTTCATTGGGTTTCTATATTGGCCCATTTCAATGTTGGATTATTATGGGCCTAGGCCCACATGGACAATTTCAATATTGGCACATTTCAATGTTGGATGATTATGGGCCTAGGCCCACTTGGACGCGCCGTGATTAACCTTATAATTTTTATTGGGTTTCTATATTGGCCCATTTCAATGTTGGATGATTATGGGCCTAGGCCCATCTTGGACAGCCGTAATTAACTTTATAATTTTAATGTATAATATAATAATGTAGATTTACACTAAAATATAGTAAAAAATTTATTCTAAAATTTCAAAATGGCTTAAACTTTTGGTCGTTTAAACAAATTGGAGAGACCCCAATAGAAAAATCCGGCGAAAAGGTGCTAATAAACCAAGCATTCCCGTAAATCACCCTAAACATTTTAGGAACATTTGACAAAATCTCCACCTTCTCCAAGAACCCAGGAATCACCGGCAAAATTCCGACCACCAGCGCCGCCACAGCCGCCAAATTAAACCCACCGGAGTAGTAATAAGCCCCTGTCGGATTCGAAGAATACAAATCCTCAACTATCAGTTCCCTCTTCCGAATGAAATGGTAATCCGCCACCATGACGCCGCCAATCGGCCCCAACACCGCCGAATACCCAACAAGCCAAGTGTAAACAAAGCTCTCACTCGAGCTTAGAAGCCTCCACGGCTGAAAAAAAATGCCAATCACGGCGGTGAGAAGTGCCCCTCTGTTGAAAGTGAAATAAGAAGGGCTGAGATTGACCAACGCATTCGCCGGCGCCACCACATTGGCGGCGACATTGGTGGTGACAGTGGCCAAAATGATCCCAAAAATCGCCAAAATCTTAGTGGCAAAACCCCCCAATATGGCCAAGAAGATCAATTGGGTTTGAAATTACATGCCCAAAAATCACGCCGGTGGAGGAGGTGACAGCAACGCCGACGAAAGTGAACGCACCCATGAACACCGGAAGCCCCAATTGGCCAATGATTTGATCCTTTTGAGTGTTGGCATAGCGAGTAAAATCAGTGATATTCAAAGCCAAAGTGGCCCAAGCACTTATATTAGCAGTAAGGGAAGGAAAAAACAGAGCCCAGAAGCGAGGTATACGAGAACTAATTTGAAGATGATCGGAGAGGAGCGTAGCAGAGAGAAGGTGAAGAAGCGGCAGACGGCGGCGGAGAGTTCGTGTCAGTTGATATTTTTTTTAAGGTTGTCTCATTCTATTCTTGTCTCAACCTGTTGTGATGTGTACTAAGCCTTTATATTGGTGTTGTTTTTTACTCACTTATGTTAAAAAGATAAAAGTGTTTTGAATATTTACACTTAATTCCAAACCCACACCACTTGAAAACACCCTTGCAGCTAACTCGAGATTTATGTAATATAACTCCTCCAAGTTTATCTCGATGATTAGGTTCATATCATTTACCTTGCCTGATCATCTCTAAATCATTGGTGTCATGTGACCTAGTTCTTGTAAGTGTATCACAATGATTTGAATCATCAGGGTTCAGGTAATCTAGTTATGTAGACGTTGCTATCGATCCTAATCATGCATATATACAAATAGGTGACATGTGACCTCGTGAATAACCTAACTTTATGACATATACAAATCTTGTCACACGAAATCATTCACTACTTAAGTTTAGTCGATGATTATCTCGTAGTCCACATATAACCATAATCCTGTGGGAGTGACCTCTGTGTCTACTAATTATCACTGCCAAATGATAGTCAAGAATCCTCCAAATAGTACGCACATAATGATTGGATGACACCAATCATAACTAGGGCACAACCCTAAATCATCCAACGAGGCACAAAATACAAATTTTATCTACGAAGACAATTCAGTATTAAAGATTACACGATGATTTTTTCTTATTCCTGGTATTGTATACTCACAATGGGAGTGACCTCTATACCTCTATCAACTACAATGACGTTAGGTGGATCCTTGTCTTGAGATTTAGTCGACTAACTCTTGACGATCTCGATACAGTAACATAAATATACAATATGGTATGAAAAAAATGAAAAATAAATTCAAAGCTGTGGCCCAAGCCAGCTAGAAACTTTTCGCCGCTTCAACAAAACAGAGAGACCCAAGTAGCAAAATCCGGCTATAAAGGTGCTAATAAACCAAGCATTCCCGTAAATCACTGTAAACAATTGAGGAACTTTAGACACAAGCTTTACCTTCTCCAAGAATCCAGGAATCACCGGCAGAACTCCGACCACCAGCGCCGCCACAGCCGTCAAATTAAACCCACCGGAGAAGTAATAAGCCCCTGTCGGACTCGAAGAATACAAATCCTCAACAATCAGTTCCCTCCTCCGAATGAAATAGTAATCCGCCACCATGACGCCGCCAATCGGCCCCAACAGCGCCGAATACCCAACAAGCCAAGTGTAAACAAAGCTCTCACTCGAGCTCAGAAGCCTCCACGGCTGAAACACAATGCCAATCACGGCGGTGAGAAGCGCCCCTCTTGTAAAAGTGAAATAAGAAGGGTTGAGATTGACCAATGCATTCGCCGGCGCCACTACATTGGCGGCGACATTGGTGGTGACAGTGGCCAAAATAATCCCAAAAATGGCCAAAACCTTAGTGGCAAAACCCCCAATATGGCCAAGAAGATCAATTGGGTTCGAAATTATATGTCCGAAAATCACTCCGGTGGAGGAAGTGACAGCAACGCCGACGAAAGTAAACGCCCCCATGAACACCGGAAGCCCCAATTGGCCAATGATTTGATCCTTTTGAGACTTGGCATAGCGAGTAAAATCAGGGATATTCAAAGCCAAAGTGGCCCAGAAACTTATATTAGCAGTAAGGGAAGGAAAAAACAGAGCCCAAAATTCAGAGGAAGATAATTTGGAGTTCAAAGAAAGCATATGCCCAAATCCACCGGCTCGAACACAGGACCAAATCAAGAGACCCATTGTGAGAAAAACAAGAATCGGAGCTGAAATTGTTTCAAGCTTTCGAATTCCATCCATTCCTTTCCAAACACTTGCTAATTGAACGACCCAGAAGGCTAAAAAGCAAGTAAAAGCCAGAGGTGAAGTTCCCAGCCATGGAAGAACCTGTGAAAATGAAGAATTTTTAATACTTTCCGGCAGTAGAAGGAATATAGCTTCGCCGGCGATCCACGTTTCGATTCCGTACCAACCGCAGCCGATTAGAGCTCGGAGAAGCGTGGGGATGTGAGCGCCGTGGATTCCGAACGACGATCGGGCAAAAACAGGGAAGGAGATGCCGTATTTCGTACCAGGATGACCGGTGAGAATTAGGGCTATTAGAGTTACAGCGTTGGCGGCGACTACGGTGGCTATCCCCTGCCACCACGCCATTCCCAGATCGACTAAGCTTCCGGCGAGGTAATACGCTGGAACACCGACGACGAGGCCGATCCAGAGCAGGGCCATCTCCGGCCAGGCAAGCGTTCTTTGTTCCGGCATCGTAGGCCGGAGATCGTCGCTGCCAGAATTTTCAACGTGAGTGTTGTCTGTCGGGTTGTCGGCGGCGGAGGCCATAGGAATGAAGTTAGTGTTGGAGTTGAAGCGGTGTCTGAGAAGTAATTTGGGGGTTATCGGAGAGAACTGCAGCAGAGAGACAGTGGGGTGGCGGCGGACAGTAGTAAGACAAGCGGGGAATCGGAAATTGTGGTGGTGGAGATGGAGGTTAACGGCGGCATCTCTGGACATTCCGATGGGGAATTGAAATCGAGAACGGATCATTTCTAAGACGATGAGAATTGAGAATTGAGTGGTGGAGAATTCCAAGATCAAAAAAGCTATAAACTTTAAAATAATAATTTGTGTGCTTCTAATGAATCATGCATCTATTTTTTTATAATTTAAATCTTCAAATACTTCACCGGTTCTGGATCCTAATTTATCTCTAACACATGCTAATCAATCCTAACAATCTTCTTCTCGAACAAACTACTCCATAGAACCTCCACTAAAGCCTATTGTGTCTTTAAACAACCTCCCCTTGATCAAACTCGACTACTACTCTAACTAGGTTAAGAGTTAAGTTAAGGGCTTGACTCTAATACTATGTTATTAATTTGATGATAAGAGTTAAGATAGTATTACTTGTCATATCTGTATGTATGCAGTAAGATAATTTAGTTTAGTATGTTACCAAATCTATGATTTCATGGTTTGTTACCAAATCTATGATTTGGAATGTAATGTTCATTATACACATCTATAAATACATGAGGTCGTGACCCATACTGGTTGTCATTCGGCCTAACCTTACTCATTTATAATTACATTAATTAAGCTTTTAAATTACCATTTTTTAAATGAAAGAGCCGTTATTATAAAATATTTGCACAAAGGCCGTGGCCGTCTCAGCTATCTCTGACACGTTGAAAGATTCGAATCTGAATCTGATCTGAAATTTTGGAAGAAAATTTATTAAACAGTCCAAGAAGTCAATGAGAATCTTTTATTTTTCAATTTAAATAAAAGAAATCCAACCAATCGCTGGCTGACAGCTCAGCTACCAAAAGCACATCTCGACGGCCCAAAACAATTTCAACGGGTCCAGGGCAGGCCCGTTAGGAATTAACGTTTGTTTTTCTTTTAAAAAATATTATCAAAATTTTTAGTTTAAATTATAATTATAATTATTCATTAATTTTCTAATTTACCCAATCTATTTAAAATAATCACGCAATATTTAATTTGGAAATTAATGGTTGAAATTGATTTTTATCATTGGAATTTTTAAAAATTAAATTTCAAAAAAAAATATTTATTAATATCACAATTTCTTATAATTTTAAATTTTATTTTAATGAAATTAAAAGTGTAAGGTTGAAGCAGACTTAATTACTAATTAAAATTAAACATTTTTTAAATTAAAAATTTGCAAAATTTTAGAAAATGTTAGTCTAAGAACCTAGGTACCTCACATTATTTCACATCGATTTTAATTTTTTCCATTAATAAATATATATTTATTTTAATAATATTTTTTAAAATTATGATTTTATTTATCCCTTTCTCTCCACATTTCCAAAACAAAAAGTAGCTTTTTGAAAGACTTTTCAAAAGTGTTTTTTTAAAAAGTAAGTACATAAATAATAAAATGATATAATTTTAGTAAAAATAAATAAATTTTATTTTTCTCTCTTTTAATTATTATTTTCCATCCTTTTTATTTTATTTTCATGCTATAAATCTGAATAATAAAGCATTAAATAACAAGGTTGCTTAAAAAATAATAAAAAATTTACTATTTTTCCTAAACCAATTTAATCACACAATTAGCAAATAATCAAAATTAAAATTTCAATTAATTATAGTAATTAAAGCTTTAAATAATCACAAATTAAATTACCATTTGGGCAGTAATTTCACATAAAACGCAAATTAAAATCCAAATATGAATATGGTTGTTTAACTATATAAAAAAAATAATAAACAAAATACAATTAAAAAAAGTATTTATTTATATAAACGGCCCATGTGGTCAGTGGGCCCCCCTGGAAACTAAGAACAGACTCCACAAAGACATGTTTTTTTTTTTTTTTTTTTTTTTTTTTTGTTGAAAATAAATAATTTTAAAATTTTAATTTCTCAATAAACAAATATACACCTTGCAATTATCAACATAACAATTCCTCCATTATTGGTTCTTCACATCCTCAAGATAGAATTTGTTGTATATGGGACCCTATATATAAAAAAAAAAAATAATAATAAAAATGATATTTTTTAAAAAATTTATTTTTAGGGACATATCAATATGGAGGAGTGCCCTATACTTTTATGGACAATGACCCCAAATTATGGCATGTAAAATGATTAAAGGCTTCAAAGAATTGGTTTGGAAGGCAATAATTAGGACCCAAAAGGTGCCCTATGAGGAATGCCTTTTCTTCTCCTTGATGAAATTCCTTCTCTTCTTTCCATTACCATTGCTTCTTTCTTCGTCTCCAAGCTAAAGCTGGCATCCCCATTTCTGTTCATCCCTACAAGCTACAAAACGCCATGTTTTTCCCTAAATTAACGTCATAAACCACTTTTCGATCTTAGATTTATATTATGATCTATTGTGTTTGTGTTATGATTCGATCTGATCCAACCCGAAATCGAAAAGGAAAGGGAATGGTGGCTAACCTTACAGCCGAGTGAACAGAATCGAAATGGATCCAATAAGCTTCTCCCACAAATTTCACAAATATGTGCTCCTCCTTTACCAGCTTTGGGTTGAGGCCTCTCGTTCAAGAACATGACTCTAGCGCTATTAATCACATAAGTTTGAACGCCACTTATATCCAAAGCTTCTTCGATATCTGCCACTCTTACTACATCATGATACGAAGATCTCCTTATCTAAAACAAATTTCCAAATTCCAAAACCAACCCATTTCATCTAAGTCAATGCTTAACAAAACCCATGTCTTGAAATTTTAAAAACAAATTCAGAATTTGATTGAACCAACCTGAATTACTTGATGATCCTTGTGGTGAGATGAGCGGCAATAGAAGCAAAATGCGTCGCAGTGGCAATCAAGACAGTACATATTCCGCTCACTCCTAGCGGATTCGCCGTGCGTGTGGCAGATTGAGAAGAACGCCGTGTTCAACAATGGCTCCAACCACGGCGGCGCCGACATTGATTTTTGCTTCATCTTTGAAAAGAACAAACCCAAGAATCAATTTAACGAAGAAAAACAGAGAATAATGTGAGTTTTTTTTGGCTTACCATATTTATTCTCAAATGGGTACCCAAAAAAATGTGATCTTTTGCCTTATTATCATAACTCAGAGAGAAAACCGATGCCAATTTCTGAGAATTGAAACGAAAATGAAAAGGCCAAGGCTGAAGAGACGAGGTTAATGTGTTGTGGAAAGCAGGAGCCTATGGACGGTGGAGATGGATTTGGTGGCTGAGGCTTCATTACAGCCGTCAGATCGAATTTGACAGAGATGACAAAGTTTGGCGCTTACGCTGCTTTTGGATCTTCCTTGCGTCTCTACGTTGGCACGAGGTCGGCCTTTCCTCTACGCTTGATCTTATTCTCCTTTCCTCCTCCCTATTCCCACCAACGGCTCTCATTCCTCCACGTTTCATCTTACCTGCCACGTGTCGTCTTCTCATGGTTTGTTTTATGTCCACATGGAATCATAGACTTTAAAATTCGGTTTGCTTCTCCCACGAGGTTTCGCTTCACCATCGCTTTGGTGATGTCAACTTTTAGCAATAAAATAAATAGGTTTGGTTATTCCTAGCATAGTTTCGGTACATAATAATAATTATTTTTTTGTATTAAAATTTTTTTAAAAAATTAATATGTTCGTGTTGATATATAATATTTGTTACAAATAAGATCTATACGACATACACGAACACACACTTTACAAGCAATGAATCGGTCAAAATATGCGTGAGAGTTAGAATTAATTCTCGTTTATCTACTTTTGTGGAAGAAAGGTGAAGCTATAAACATCTTTTTTTCGTACTTTGTGTATGGAGTACTCTACGATGTAGGGTCTTTGAAAAATTGAACGAGTATTAAAAGTGTACTCAATACCCACGAGCCTTTGAATTTAAGAGAGATTCTCGAGAATGTTCGCTACCGATTTCCTTTTATATTTAAAAAACGAGTAGGAGAGAAAAAAATTGAATTATTTATAATAAATGATTTAATATGGTCATCATCATTGGTAAGTGCTACAAATAAATTAAATTTTATTTATAAGTTTTTTTAATTTAATATAATTAAAATAAAAAGAAATTTAAAAATTATGTTTTTTTTTTTTAATTTCCCCTTTTAACACTAAATTAATTTATTTTTATTTTTTTTATACGATGTGGATAAATTCATAATTAAATTAACCCCACCTAACCCTTTTTTCCCTTTTGTGTTTGTCTTTTGTTTTGTTCATTTCATAAAAGTACAATCAATTTCCAATATCACATTTGTGTTTATATATATATATATATACACACCAAAAAAATAAAATAAAAAAATAATTTTTTTTCCTAATGAATATTCAAAGCATTATAATCTATGATTAGAAGCTGTTCATCAAATTATATCTTCTGAAAGCAATGCCTTTTATAAGCAAGACCCACCAAATTAAAAAATTAAAAAATTAAAAAATTAAAAAAATTATTACTTGTAAAACTCTTACTTACAAGAAATGCCCTAAATTAATATTTAAAATTAAATAATCAACCAATCACGCAATCAATTGACAAAATTAACATATTATTAAGCATATAACACAATTAAATTATTGTTCATTTCATTAATGACATAATGGTCAAATTAAAGCTATAAAATACTTAAAACCTAACTAATCAAATTATTTTAACCCAATTAAAAAAATAATTAAATTTCCGTGTTTCGCAAATGCTCTAACCCACTCGGGACTTAATTATTGTGTAGTTGTTAAGACTATGCATAAAATATGGTAAGTTTTTGAAATTTAGGTCAAATTAAGCTTAAACTATTAATTAAAACACGAATACCTTCGATAAAGTAAAAGGTCTAACCTCTCAGTACTACATTTGTTGAACTCACGTGGTGGTTGAAATGGTATCGAAATAGACGATCGACTTCAGTAATGATGTTATACTAGCTGGGTTTTTGGTAATTTTGAATACCGAAAACTCGAACAATTGAATTAGGTTTGGAAAGATTATTTCACCTAACCGAACCGAACTTGACATAAACGACCCCATTGAATTAAAGTGGGGCAAGGGAATTAAGAGCCTAATCTTTTGGTACTTAGCCTAGAAGGAAGAAAGTGTGTTGGCTTCCCTTGCATGTATGGCGCCGACGGGAAAGGATATGGCAAGGCCCTGCCATAAAGAAAGCCGTCCTTTTCCATTTCTTTTATTTTTTTCTTTTTTAATTTCTAAAAATGAATAAATTGTTATTTAATTATTATTTTTTGTGGGAATTATAAATAGAATAAAATAAAATAAAAATGAGTTTAATTGCATGCTTTTCGTGAAAGGCAAATGTTTGTTCCTATAAATAAGAAAGAAAAAGGGAATTTTTATTAGTGGATGATGAATCATATGAAATGGAATTAGATTCGAATCTTTTTATGTAGAGCTTGGATCTCCAAATTTAATATAATATATATATTTTATATATATTGTCCACTTTGATCTGTTACATATTGCCGTCAGCCTCACGAATTAAAAATGTGAGATCTCACAATCCATCTTCTTGGAGGTTTAACATTGGGCGTCTGACACTCGTACCATTTGAAAAAATTGTCTGGACGGTTGGATGATGAAATCCCACCTCGCCCCATTGGTTTGAACCCTTTTGGTATACTCTCTCCATTGGTTTGAGTCCTTTTGGTAACTCAAAACAAAGTTACGAGAACTTATGTTCAAAGTGGGCAATATCATACCATTGTAGAGAGTGGTGTTCCTAAAAAAAAAAAACTAATATTGGATATTGTGAGAGCCGAGGATAAATGGATAATATACATTTATTTATTTATCTATTTATGGTACAATGTGTCAGTGAAGAATGTTTTTTTTTAAATTTAATTATATAAATATGAAATTAAATAATAATAATAATAATAATAAGAAACCTAAGAGGGGGAATGAGTGGGACACCGAAAGCTCAGGCGAAGAAAGTTGAAAGCTGTGGCTCCGTAAAGGGCTGTACAGTTGGAGCCATTATGAGCCCATATGCCTTACAGTTGGATTTTTTTAAATATCTCTCCTCTATTATTTATTATTTATTATTATTATTAAATTATTTGCCTCGCAATAATTACCTAAATTATATATATAAATATATCCACTTACTTACCTCATAATCATTTTTCAAATAAATTATTACCATTTTAATTTTTTTTTTGTCTCCTCATGTGGAGTACAATTCACTAAGTATATTATATTATTTGCTTTATTAACAATGAATTATTTTCTAGTCCTTCATATTTGAATAAATTCTAATTTTAAATTTTATTAGTAAATTTAAGTTTGGGTTAAAAAAATTTATGAAAATTTATTTTTTTTAATTTAATTTTATATCTTTTATAATTAACTTATATATTATATATCTCTAAAAGGTTAATTTTACTTTATTAGATTCGAAAATTTTAAAAGATGTATTGAATTTAATAATATGGTGGTGAATCGACGTGAAAGGACTTGAGTGAATGCATTATTCATTATCTTTACGAACATCACCTTTAAAAAAAAAACATTGGATTTTGACGTATCTTCATTATGGAATGTAGACCAATTTTAGGTCAGACGTTACATTCTTCTTGTTGTTGTACCACCATTTTTAATAAGCAATAAATATAAATAAATTATATATATATAATTTAAATGATGGGTGTTCATATAATCTCATAATTTGACTTGGATAACACAACTTAGCAGGTTAGTTTTTTTTTTTTTTTTTTTTTTTTTTTTTTTTTTTTTTTTTTTTAATTTTTCAAGTTTTAAGTTGAGTTGAATTATGAAAAATCTAGAGTTTAGTTCAGTTTACGAGTTGACATTTTTTTTTGTCGGATGAACCCACCAACCCGAAATTAGGGTTACAACCAACCTAATCTTATTAAAAAAAAAAAAAATACGTTGTGACTTGTAAATATTTAATATTTGAATTTTGTTAGATTTTAGTTATTAATGTAACGTGTATTGTGAATAATTATGTTTTTTTAAAATAATAAATAAAAAAAAAAGAATCATATGACAACGGGTTGAGTTGGGTTGGGTTGTGAACTTTAATTTGGTTGTTCGGGTTACCAACTCATTGAATTTCACCCGATGAATATATATCAGCATGACATGAATAATATTCAAAACTAGGTTGTAGGGTCGAGTTCTATACACAAAACATATAGAAATGCTAAAATTTTTAGGGTCGGGACACCTAGTCCCTTCTCATGTCGGCTCATGAGAGGTGATGATGGAAAGAATACTTAACTTTAGGCTAATTACAAAAATGTTAAACAACCAACATGATTAGCTAGCTTGCTTTGCCTTGTCTTCAATAAATGCTTTAATATTTGCAACTTTATGATTCAATCACATTTATCAAATCTCCATAAGATCTCACAAATTAAAGCATCCATCTTAGTTTTTGTGCCCACTAACTGTTTGTCAAAATGCCCAAATGCCCATTTCGCCTGCCCTTCGCCGCCGCCCATGCGCCCCCGCCCCATGCGCCTTGCTGCGCTGCCAAGCCTTTCCCCATTTTGCACACCCTCGTAGAATCACTCATCTAAGGACCACTTAATTTTTTTTCTTCTTATTATTCTATTGAACAACTTTTACTCTTTCAATGCTTCATATCTTAACTTGGAATGATGCACGAAACAACGAGTTGTTTGGATATAAATAAGTGAAGAGAAGTTCCACCCGTAATTTTAATTACTCTAAATTTATGAAATTTGGGGTTGGAAAGTATAAATTTATATTACCCATGTTTAAATTTATACAACAATTTAGGTTTTTCGGTTGAATAGTGAGCTGATCATTTGAATATTATTTAACTATACTTATATTAACATATAAAGTTTTAGAGACGAATTAAGACGAAAGATACAAAACACGTGACACTCGAGCAAATGAATGATACATGAATGGATCAAGACCAGAGTGATCAAGAGTGATCAAGAAAGTAGGATGGTTTAATAATTATTACTTATATTAACAAATTCATTTTGATTTTTTTTTAATGACTGATTTTGTATTTCAAAAGTGAATGGACTATTTGAATCATGGGCCCTTAGTCGTGGCCCAGTTAGATTGGGTTACAGAAACATAATAATGTCGGCCCAACTAACATTGTCGGCCCAAAAAAAGTACTTTTCAATTCAACCCCCACAATGTTTATTTATTTCAAAATGGAACTTTTTAATATAGTTTTTTATATATATATATATATTTTTATTTATATATGGTAACAAATATTAATACGAAGTAACAGTTTGTTTGATTTAATATTTATTAAAAGAAGGGCTACTTATGATATTTTGTATATTTAATGGATGATTTTGATAATAAAATGAGAAAAAGGGGCAACTTTGAAATTTACATTATCGTTAAAATTCTTTTTATATTAAATTATATTTTTTCATGACTGTAATTTTAGAAAATAAAAACAAAGAAATTTATTTAATAAAGAAAATAATAAATAAATAGGCTAGAAGAAAGGTCGAGAAATCGACAGCGCCGGTATTAGAACTCGGAATAATCTTCAAACTCCATCAATTAAAAGAGGAAAAA